ACGCAAAGAATTACCCTCTCCTAATGCTCCAATCCTGAATAATGCGGCGAGGTATGGCGGCTTGAAAATATGCGAACAGTTTGTTTATAGTTTGTTTCTTACAAATGTTTTAACATTTTATATTATTTCAATTTATTCTTCTAATGTATGTGTAGTGATTCAATTTAAAAAATATTAGAAACAATTGCAAGATAGAATATTGAATGTTAATTTGGAATGTTAGTTTTCAGCCCAGATTCACAACACATTTCATATTTTTTTTTAATATGAAATGCATCTTTTTACCAAAAGGAATTGTAATTTTAAAATAAATCAACATTTTAAATTATTTCTTAAAATATTACCAGAGAATCTAGCTATCACACAAAAGACTATAGTTTGAAAACAATTTTTTTTTAAAACTAAATTATAAATGGACAGACTACTTCACTGATATCTTTGGAATATGCTTCCTTTTTTTGTAAGAGTTGGTATACATGATAGATGTAATCTGTAGCTTCTGCATACCAAGAGTGTAGCAGTTATAGATATAAGACATTCAAGATATTGGGCTTTGCTTTATCACGGCTAGTATAGTGCAATGATTCACAATTGTAGTGGTCTTGTTCATTTGTGTGTACTAACAACTCTAGATACACAATGTAGCTCATGTTTTTATCTTACTAATCTACGCATGAGTGTTTAGGTTTCTTTGAGAGCAAAGCTATAACAGTCAGCAGCTGAAGCTTTCTATTTCCTTAATGCAACTCCACTCTTTCTTCTGTAAGTTGTTTGTTCAAACATACACACAAACATTCAGTCATCCCCCCTGTTAATACTCTCCTCCCACTCCAAGACCTCCTGTACATTATCCCCCCTCTCCATGCCCAAAAAATGCCCCCTGTCAATTACCCCTGCCCACATGGTCATTTAAAAAAGAATATACATTGGTTAACGATCCAAATATGGATTGGGTTAGGGATATGGTTTGGTCATGGTCATGGTCATGGTCAGGGTCAGGGTCATGGTCATGGTCATGTTCATGGTCATGGTCATGGTCATGGTCATGGTCATGGTCGTGGTCGTTGTCGTGGTCGTGGTCATGGTCATGGTCGTGGTCATGGTCATGGTCATGGTCATGGTCATGGTCATGGTCATGGTCATGGTCAAGGTTGAGTAAGGGATAGGGGTGGTGTTAGGTATAGATATAAGAGTAGGATCAGGATGGGGTTAGGTATTTTTAGGGGTAAGTAGCTCGATATAGAGATGGACAGGGATAGGTTGAGATATAGCTAAAGCTGAATTGGGGGGGGGGGGTAGGAAGTTAACAGAGGATAAATAATGATACAATTCTAATACACATATACATAATATCAAATGAGTGCATGATAGATTGAATGAGAGACAAGCAACAAAAGCAGGTAAAGGAAATATTTATTTAGGTTTTAATTTACTTAACTCAATATTGGATTAAACTTTTAAAAAAAAAGAAATTAATCTGAAGTTTATTTTATTTGCATTCACCTGATTTTTCTACATGCTGCTTTAATGCTCACCTACTTTCTGTCTGTTTTCATTTTTTAATTTCTAGAAACAAAATTTGTACAAATAGAAAATTTAGATTAAACCTATGCCATCATAAAATTGTTGTATATATTTATGTTATACTACAGAATGTTAAACAACTGCAAATACGACCTTAACTTTTCATATTACTACTCTAGATTTTACTTTAAAATATAAAGTATTAAAATATAACTTTCGCCATCAGGTTAAAAATCATTTTAATTAATTAATTGAATGAATTTTTTTAAAGTGTTTAATAATGTACACTAAGATTTCAATATTTAGTTCAATGGTTTTTTCATTGAGTTCTATTTTGTTTTCTCTTTTACATACATTAATGACATAATTAATTTCCAACTTAATGTTTCAGAGATGTAAAAAAATGCAAAAACAAACTTTCTCGGTAGAGTATGCTTCATGTGTTAGCAATTTGCTTGAATAACTCACCAGCTCACAAACCTTGTTAACAAAAGAGAGAAGCATAATGTAGCTTCCATTGTGTCTTTCAATATTACTAATAGTTTTTCCTAATTATGTGACTTGTAGGTGAAAAACAGCTAATTATGTCATACAGATTTGATGCATTTTTAGTAGTAACTTGTTTAAAGCCTGAAACTTCAGTTGTTTAACTATTTCAGGAACATAAACAGGAAACGAGCAGTTTTAAATTTGAATAGGAGAAATATACCTACAAGCTTCATGTGTACACTCTCACAGTTGAATAGTTGCTTATCACATATGCTAAAAATACACGTGCAGAAATTTATGCTTTTTTTATTTATTCTATTACTAACTTGTATTTTATTCTTTAGCTCCAATCATAAAGCAATATATGGATTAGACTACCGTATAAACATTTTACATTATTGCTTAAATGCTCTAATTTGATATGTCAATTCAGAGGTTGATTGCTGTCAACTACCTCATGAAAATTGGATTCCTCATTAAATATTTTTAAAAAGGAACAAAGTGTTCTGTTTAAATAATGAATGGTTCAGATTTCTCTCTTGTTATCTGTTCTTCACTTCACAGTTTGATCATTTGAATCATATATAACCTGCACCAGTTTATCATCAAGGGGAACCAGTGCAAACAATGTAGGGTCCTCCATCAAATGATTATGATAGGGGAACCATTGTTTTTATATGTAAACCAATAAGGATTTTAGGGTTGAAGATTGCTTTTTTTTTTTACTATATTTAATTTTGTCACTATTTTATTTTTTTATTTTTTAACACCTGGTTTTTTAATTTAAAACTTAATTACTATACTAAATTAATGCCGATTTTGTATACAATAAATTATTGTATAACAATTAGTATGAGTTGTTTACAATATTGGATAACATGCTATTGTCAATTGTGTAGTGCATATTTACTATAGCTTGCATACTTCACCTGACATTATTTCTTGCAGCAATCTTTCTGTCTTTTTTACAGAATATAGCTGGATACATTACTAGATGCTTATGCTGTTATGTATTACATATACACACATAATTAATATCTTTTTGAAAATACTTATTAGATTGTAAACAAAGATAATAGCATCACAGAATTAAAATTGTTTATTCTAACATAATTTATTTTAATAAAATAGTATTAATGTAATAGAAAATCTGAAATTTTTAAAAATTTCTTGTAGTTTTTGTTGTGTGAAGTTAAAGTATATTGTTTTATGTTGATTTATTGGGATTAAGATTAAATTCATACTTGCAATCCCATTCTACTCATTTGGTTTTTGTATTTTTTAATATTCTGTAAAGATACAATGATTGTTATAACTATCTTACCAGACGTTTGTGTGAAGAAGATGATGAACTTAGTGAAGTGGAGCCAGATGCTGTCCCAAGTGAAGTCAGGGATTGGTTAGCTTTGACATTTACAAGGTCAATGTCTAACATGAAGCGCCGAGGTGAAGACAAGCCTCGTTTTAGAAGTGTTGCTCATGCAATCAGAGCAGGAATCATGGTGGATAGGTAAGTTGTAACATTGAACAATATTAACAGCTGCCATATTAAAACTTAATTATGCTTAAATTAATTAACATTGGGGATTTTTTTTTAAATTATATTCATTTACAAGTTCTCTGTAAATGCAAAAACCTGTTAGTAAAGAAGTTTCTAAGATTGAATTAAATAGTCTTTTCAGCTGAGTTTTTAATATTAGAATATTTAATATTAAACATAAATTTTGAGATTTGATCAATTATAAAAAGCCAGATTTCACTAATCTGGATAATCTAAATGTGTTGAATATTTAATTCCTATACAGAATATACAGACGAATGTCCAGCTCAGTTGGTTTGCATGTTCCACCCCATGTTTTAATGTTGTTGAAGGTATGTAGGCTCATTAGACAAAAAATATAAATATTACATATTGAAAATTTGTTTGCAAAATTAAATTAATTGATTTTTAAACAACTGAACAAGAATTTCTAAAACTAAATTGGTGAATAAAAATTCTTAAAACTCATTGAATTTTTCCCAGAACCTTGATGACTGGTCTTTCAATGTTTTTGCTGTTAATGAGGCAGCAGATGGACACAGCCTAAAGTTTGTTGGCTATGAACTTCTACAAAAATATGACCTGATCACTAAATTTAAAATTAACACACAGGTATAAGAGATGGGGTTACATAAGTACATACATACATATATATACACATATATATACATATGTATACATACACACACACACTCTCTCACACACACACACACATATACAGAAGCATAGCAAAGGGGGGGGTACATATGTTCCCGGGCGCCAAGCCTAGGGGCGCCAAAACGGGTTGAAATAAAATTACAAGCCCATTTTAGCTGCATTTTATAACAATAAACATAAAAAAATATATTAGAGGGGGTGGGCTCCAAATTTAAAGTTTATCCCCGGTCGTGGGCTGGGGTCGCTATGCTTCTGTATGTATGTATATATATATATATATATATATATATATATATATATATATATATATATATATATATATATATATATATATATATATATATATATATATATATATATATATATATATGTACTAATTTCAATTTAACTTATCTTAACTTAACACAAATGTTCATTGTTTTTGCCATCCAAGTGGTTTTTTTAAATCAAATTCTTAAGGTTAACTTTCAACTCAATGAGGAATCAATTTATACCAAAAATGGAAAACTATTTAAAAATTGATACATGTTTTACAAATGAATCATATTTCAGATGCTTGAGAGCTTCCTCTTTGCCCTTGAAACTGGCTACAGCAAATACAAAAATCCATATCATAACCTAATGCATGGTGCTGACATAGCTCAGACAGTTCACTATGTGTTATCCCAGAGCAGACTGGCAGTAAGTAGGGACATTGGTTAGAATAAATACATTTTTAATATTAATGTGCAATTTTATATATATATATATATATATATATATATATATATATATATATATATATATATATATATGTATATATATGTATATATATATATATATATATATATATATATATATATATATATATATATATATATATATATATATATATATATATATGCAACATTTTTACCTCATTTAAATATTATAATCCATATATTTTTAGCAATTACTAACTGACTTAGAAGTATTTGCAACATTGGTTGCTGCCCTCATACATGATTTTGAACATACAGGAACAACAAACAACTTTCATATAAATACATCGTAAGTTGTTTTTTTTAATAAATAAATGTAGCTGTTAAAGAGTGCTGAAATGAATTTTTTTTTTCAATTTATGATTACAAAATTCATATTGTAAAGTCCGCTTAATCTCATAATATTAGTATTTCATCTAAATTTGTTTTAGAATAAATGTGTTTTCTGTAGGAATAACTTTTTGTACAAACAGTATAGGCAAACAGTTTAAAACCTTGAAATTAAAATTTCATATTTTTTAACATTATCTTAAATTTATTGTAGGCTAACATCAAATCTTTTGAGATGTTTAATTATTTAAAAAAAAAAATTAATGGTCAACGAGACAATGTAGCTTTTGAGTTTATGGGGAGTCTACATAAATATACATTTTGGGGAAAGCTAAGAACCATGTTCATCATGAGATCAGACCTTACCTGTAGATTGACAATCCATAGCAAAAGAATATTTTATGTGAATGTAACATTACAATTTATTATAAACATTTTATTCTATTCTGGACTTGTATGAGGACCACAAAATTGTTAAATGTTTTTCCTAAAATGTTTAGCTATCTTTTAGATATGACTATTGTTTCAAAAAACAATGTGAATATCTTACTAACTAGTTAAAGAAATCACCATTTACAATTTTTACGAGCTTTATTTAACTTGCTTCCTCTGTCTATCTGTCGACAGTCTATCTGTCTATCTGTCATCATATATCAAAACGCTCAAGCAAAATTGTGGACACTTCTAATTGACAGATTCTGTTTAAAGTTGGCACCGGGTCAAGACATGAAGACAATGCAATCTGACATTAAATTTGACTTAATTGAATGCCTAATTAATTTTTTATTAATTAATTAAAGTTGTATCTAAATTAGTAGACAGTCTTATCCAACTATTCCACACTATTATTCACGTGTTATCATGTTCAGTAGGTGCGCAATAGTTTATAGTCATGCAACTCTATGGTAAATTTTAAAAATTTAAAGTACTGAAATTTTTTTTTATAAAAAACGTTTTAATAACAAGCCTTTATGTATTAATGCACTAAAAAGTAGAAAATAAATTATACACTACTATTTAAAAAACTATATAGAAAAGCGTGGGTCTCTTCCTAAATATTAGCAAAGGTATCCAATAGATAATAAAGTGACCCACGTTTTTCATTATAGCTATTTAATAACATAAAAGCTTGTTATTAAACCGTTTTTATGAAATTATTTTTCAAATTTGAATTATTTTTTTGGTAAATAATCTTAAGATCTTAATTCTTGCAAAAATAATTTGACATTTAATTAAAAAGTGTGCATATATTTCTAGGTAAAATAAATTGATGTAATTTAATTTTTCTTAGGTCTGAAGTTGCATTACTGTACAATGACAGAGCAGTTTTAGAAAATCATCATATTAGTGCAGCATTTCGACTTGTTAGAGAAGAGGAACACAACATATTATGCAATCTTAGCAAGGAAGAATACAGGTTGGTAATAGGCAGCCCCAACATTTTCTATACAAATCCTTAATGAGTATTTCTTTTTACTAACCACAAAATAATTATAGTTTGCTATGTTTGGTACTTTGAGCTTAAAGTAGATAAAAGCTTCTTAATAACAAAACCCTCTGGCAGATAAGGCTCGATCCCTCCCAACACTGAAAATTAAGAACGAAGAAGAAGAACAAAATACTGCAGTGGAATTTGTTTTCATTTGTCTGACATGAAAATGTATAGTTCATTAATAAACAGTAAAATTTTTACTAAGTATTTACAGCCCTTTTAAATGGAATATTCTCAAAAGCAACAATAGTACCAACCTATATTCATGTTCTAACTCACATCATTTCTTATTATTACAGGGAGTTCCGTACCCTTGTTATTGACATGGTTTTGGCAACTGACATGTCCTTCCACTTTCAACAAATTAAGAACATGAAAAGCTTACTGGGCATGCCAGAAAAGTAAGTTGTCAAGAGAGTTAATTTTTAACGTATAAATCTCACAACCTTGTTTAAAATTAAAAATATCTCTATCTGAGGCTATATATCTATACTTATATACATAGCCATATCTATAAGCCTATCACCTAAACCTACACCTATGCTTATACTTACTTATGTATATATATACATATATATATATATATATATATATATATATATATATATATATATATATATATATATATATATATATATATATTGTAGAGATTGACTGTTATAGACCAGTGGTTCCGAAACTTTTTCAAGTGTCGACCCCTTTACAAAAAATAAGGGACACGCGACCCCCATAGAATTAAAAAGTCGAAATTAGTAAGGAAATTAATAAGCACTAAAATATGATTTTCTAGTAAACTTTCAATAAAAACATTATTCTTGATAACTTGTAATTCATCAGACATGCTGGAAACATCTAGGGAAGCAGAGAATGGGTTTATGTGTCAGTGCAAATTCTTCTTCTTTCAGCTCAGGGAAAATAACACAGCAGTTCGTTTGCAAGATATTCAAGATGCCCAGATCCTCTTTTGAATTTTTATTTATTTCACAATTGGATTCATCTTTGACACTGTTTCTCTAACATGGCAATATTTCCAAGATTTTTTCTTCGCCAATTTTGCAGCTTTGATAAAAATGCCAAGAGATTATCATGAAAAGGAATTAATATTCATTCATTATCCCAGCAGAAGCTTCAGGTTAAGCTTATGTTGATGTTTGAATATATCTGCTAGGTATAAATTAGTATAATACTCTCTCTAACCACTCTCAGTCATTAAAGTATATCAAAAAGTTGTTTCTCTTGCACTACCAAGAACAACTTGATTTCATCTTTCAATTGAAAAACATGATTCACATTTCCTTTTGATAGCCAGCATACTGTACTGTAGAAAAGCAGAACCTCATGATCTTTATATTCATGTATTTGCACAGTTCTTTAAACAGAAGGATATTTAGGGCTCCAGATTTAATATAATTTATCAGCAATGGAGTATGAACAGTCTTTCTTTGCAAGGGCATACAAGTGAATCATGCAATGGATTCCCCATGGATTAGGGAGCTAAATCTTTTACTTTTTTTCTGAATTCAGTAGGTTTCATAGAATAACTTTGTACAGTATGCATTGTTTCCTCTGTATTCAATTTCCAGTGGTATTAGTAAAGCCTAATTTCAGATATTCTTCACAATATTTATGTTATTTTTTCATTGCTAGGGTTTAGTCTACCAGTTGAAGACCCTGCAGAAACCCTGAGTTTGGGAACCCATATTATAGCTGGTACCATGCTAAACTAATATGCAACTAATTTTTTTTAACTTTTTTTTAAACTCTTGCAGCATTGAGAAGTCTAAAGTTCTGTCCCTTGTATTACATTGTGCTGATATAAGCCACCCAGCCAAAGACTGGGAACTGCATGAGAAATGGACTGGCTTTTTGTTAGAAGAATTTTTCAGACAGGTGATGTGTGCAGAAAATTTTACTTTCAAACACTTTTAAGGCTAAAACTTTTATGACAAATAATTACAAGTACTAATTATTAAAAATATCTATATAGCTTACTTGTTGGCTTATAATTTGAACCAAATTATATTTCTAAATTAAACTGTGCTAAATATAAAAGATACATTAGAATGTAGGTAGTGCTGTTTCCATTTAACATTCTTATGTTTGTTTTTTAAATTTTACCCTATGAGTTCTTTTGTTTATAAATTGGTTGAAACTTCCTATTTTACATAGGGTGATAGAGAACAAGAACTTGGGCTTCCTTTTTCTCCACTCTGTGATAGAAAAAATACATTAGTTGCCGAATCTCAAATAGGTAAAGAATTTCATGCTTATTACTTTATTTTGAATTTAATTGTACTAACTTTCAAAAAAGCATATTTTAAGCATAAAGAAATATTTAAACAAGAAAAGGTAATTTCTTTCCAGACAATGCAAAATCTATTTAGTTATCCTTTGTGTATCTGGTCACAAATATATGAGACAATCCTTCTATGGAGTTTAGGTGTTTTATTCATTGGTACACCTAACAAAGAAAGGAACTAATGCTAAATCGTTACCTTTTATTACTGTTTTCTTTTTTCAAATTTCAGGTTTTATTGACTTTATAGTGGACCCAAGTTTTCAAGTAATGGGAGACATGTTGGAGAAAGTTATGTCCCCTTTGAACTCCCAATCCGCTAACTCACACAACAGAAATATTGATGAGGCTATCTCTGAAGAGGTTTTTGAAAGCAAAGATAGAAGGGATAAATCTACCAGTACGACAAACTTGTGCAGTCGACCAACAACACCTAAAACTCCAATGTCGCCTTGTAAAAACTTTTGTTATACAATCGGCATTGATCTAATTAGATCAAAGCACAAACTTTAGTTTAATGCTAATCAAATTATCTTTCATTCACAAATTTCTTTTCAAAGTTGCTATTAATTTTCTTGAGCATGGATCTAATTGTATGTTTTTATTATTTAGTAACAGATTCCTACACACAATAACTCATGTTTTCAGATGGACGTTTTGAGCTCAGGCGACCTTGGGTGGATTGTCTTTTACAGAACAAAAGCAACTGGAAAGTGAGGGCTATTAAAGGTCAGCCAATTGTCTCATAAAATTTCAATTTTTGGTCCAAAAAAAATGTCCAAATGGTTCTCCACTTATCTTCTCATGTGGGTCGCTATAGTAACAACATGAAAACAATACAGCAATATTAACAACAGGAACACTTTACTTGGTATGCCAGAAAATTAAGTAATCAAGACCATTGTTTTTCAATATGAAGTTACAAACATTCTCAAAGTTTAAATAGCATTTATAAATATATCATATAATTAAAAAAACAATTAATTTTGTATATTTCATTAATACAAAATAATTATACAAATATTCCTATACATTTCACAAAAAAATAGAACTTTTTTTTTTTCAGTTTTCTCTATATAATTAAAAACAAAACTTTGTGCAAAACAACACAGTAGTTGATTACATTCAAATGACAGTTTTAATAGAGTTTAAATGTAATGCTTCTATGCTTCTATACAGAGGCCTATCCAGGTTTTCGTTGTAGGGGGAGCGAAAAGAGCAAAAAAAGGCGCCGAATTTTTAACACGTTCTATATACATTTATTATATATATATATATATATATATATATATATATATATATATATATATATATATATATATATATATATATATATATATACAATTACTAGCTGTATGTCATTACTTCGCTATGATGTAAAATAAATTGAAAGTAGCACTCTGAAGAAATAAGAAAAACACACAATGTAGGCTGACAGAACAAAAATTGTATCAATGTAAACAAATATATATATATA